TTTAAATGATTTGACATAATTAACAATCCTTTTCCTCTTAACAGGCTCTCCCAGACCTCTAACCTTTACGTAAATAATTTTACATTGTTCTCCCATTACCTACATTTTTAGAATGTCTGTCTAATTTCTCTAAGCAGTTAAGATTATCTTGCATCCAGAAAATTATTGAAAGCTTATTGCTCAAAAAATCTATCAAAAATTTGCCTGATATCAAGAGTACGTATAACATTAGAATTCTTTTCCCTGCATTAATACCCTCCTCCCATTCTCCCTCCCCTCTTTGAAAATCAGCCTCCTCCCTTATCCCCCCCGCCATCCTCCACACTGTACCATGGCTCCATATCCAGCCTCCCTACCCTCCAATCCCAGTTAGACCGATAGCAAAAACATTGCAGAGGATCCATACTCTTTCGAGTATAACAACCTTTGTTTGCAGTTTCATGTCACTGCTTCTACTCGGTATAAGCATTCAGGGACTCTTTGATTAAGACTAAGCCGCTCAGAGGGGCTAACTTTTTTCTGTACTTCAGTTTTACATGCCAATTCTGAACCTTTCCACATAATAAAATTAGTTCAGTCATGCTGGTAAATACATTCCTGCTGATCACACGATGCTGAGTACAAGCTACACTTATCTACAGTTCCAGACAATACTTGGAAAAGCAGCCTACTCTTCTGCCCCACACCATTAGGAACTGGTAGGACATGACTTGTAGCCTATTTCTGCTGTGCCCGGGGGCATCTTTCTTCCTATTTGGAGTGCTTGCCTGCTCCCATTTCTCAGCTCAGTCAGGGGGTTAGTTCAGTTGTCGGAGTACATCAGGGAAGATCTGGGTTCCAACTCCAGGTCTGCCTGTAATAAATAAATCTCATCTACAACCTTATTGTGAATGAGAAGGTGGACTGGATTGTATTATCAAGACATGAATGGGTTTGGAATGGTGTATATCACTCTGAAATGTGCCCATCTACATTTCAGCCACAGCATCAGCTGACAGCCTAGGGTAGGCGACATGGGGTGGCTATCACTATATGGAAGGTTCTGCTGTCAGCCAGAGATACCATTCCATAGTTAAGGATGTAAGGCCTTGTTTTTGAAGTTAGGCTGTCCCCCTTGATGCACAGTGGTGTTCCTGCTTGAGCTGCTGGCCCTAACTTTGGGATTGGCAGTGGAGTATTTTTGGGATATTTGAGATTGGCAGTGGAGTATTACGGTACTTGGGGATTTCAACTAAGCCAAGCAACGCATATTATGGCCTAAGGAGATGCAGGAATTGATGCTATGGATATACCTTACAACTTCAGTTGTGTAAATCAACCCAAGGGAGGAAGGCTTTATTGATTTTAGTTATTTTAACGAATTCATTACTATAAAATAAGGTTTATTCCTGCTAAAACATTCCCAACTTTTCTCCGTATAAGATCATCTCTATAAAATATGTATTACTTTCTCTGACATAGAGAGTTTATGCTGCCCAGCTGGTATACAAGGATGACCTCACAGAGGCCTAGGGGTACAGGTAAGCAGATCCAGAAAAAAGGTAATATGCCCATGACCTCACAGATATACTGCCCCTACCAAATAGTTATACAGTTAAAGGGTGGTGCCAAGTTTCTCAGCAGACACTGAAAGCTGAAGTTGGGAGTTCAAGAGGATTCAGGCAGCAATGGATCTGTGAAAGTGAGTATGGGACCAGGGAAGGATTGCTCAAGATGTGCTTCCCTTATTCCCATGTTTACAGAGAAAAAACTGACCTAGTAATGACAGGAATAAAGGAAGTCAGATAAACACTAGGCCAGGTCAGCAGACACACGAGAGTTCCTCTACTGTTTTTTTTCAACCCGATAAACATCCAGCATGTCAAGAAGGCAGTCTTGACCCATACAATATGCAATATTGCATAAACAATAGATAAGGTTAGTTCCCCCCAATGACCTTTTTAAGCGTCTTTAGCTTTTATGGCTTTTAATCTTATTGATTTATCTCTGTTATTTTTCTCTAGTTATGTTATTGTTTTGTTGTATTTTTCACATTTTTATGTACACCCTCCAGACAGCATTGATGATGAGATGGTATAATAATAGCTAGCTAAAAAATAGAGAGCTTCGTATCCTAAGTGCCTAAAGTTCTTTAAAGAGCACAGAAGCATTAGTAAAATGCATTATGGCTACCCCGTGACCCACATACTCACAATGCACACAATACATTACAAGCCACCGACTCACTGAGTCCCCGTATTTCTTTAAACTCTAGGCCTCATCCCCACACCCCCATCTGTGTGCTTTTCTCCGCTCCTCAAGACAGGAGGAAAGTCTTCTGTCTGAGAACTGCCCCCACAAAATTTCCCTTACCATGCCCAGGAATGAGGCCCCAGAGAAGGGCAGTGGTTAGCTGCCACTGCTGCTGTCAGGAGGGCAAGGAGCAAAGCAAGGGGGATCTTCTTCTCTGCTGCCTACCTCTCCACCCCTTCCCTCCAGCCAAGCATGGTGACAGGCAGTGACGCACTACATGAAGGTTAGCATTGGAAATAGTGACCTGGGAAAAGGTACTTCACAAAATCAGTATTTCTCCGAGCCAAAAAAGAAAGCTGGTCACTTGGTGAGGTTCTAGTCTGTCCAGCAGCCAAAGTAGAAATGGCCACTGAGGCAGAGAACCCAGTGGTTGAATGGAAGGGCGCAATCCAGTCCTGTAGTGAGTCTGTTGGAGCTCTGCAGGTGGCTGAGCCCCCTTAGGTTCCTGCTCTATGAAGCATGTGGTCTTTTCCAATGAAAAACACATCACTTTCTTGCTGGATCACCTTGATCTAGTTTCAGTCTTCCTCGATGGAGCCTCCACGATGGAGATATGTCTTTTGTAAAAGATAAGTGGGTTATCTTGGAGCTGGGGGAAGGTTGGGTAGGTGAGCCCCTAATCTGGTTTCCTTGGTTTTGGTTTAGTGTGCTGTGTGAACTCAACCACTGAGATTTATAAAGTATGTGAACCAATTAGTTGTACCCTTTTCAGGAAAACATGGCTAAAACATGTCCTGGGGAAATTCTTTTGTTTGACTACTTTACTGCCTAATTATAAAATTAAAAAGGCCAAAGCACTATAAAATCTTTCTAAATTAAACAGCTTGTTCAGCTACATCTTATGTGAGTCATTCAACAAGATGGGCGGTGACAAATTGGATATATAAATAAATAAATATAAAATAAAAGAGAAATATGTGGATGTAAATTCTTTTGAGGTAGCATTGCTGAAAAATGTTGAGGCAACCAAACATACCCTTTCTAAGCAGCCAGTCACATAAGACAAGAAGCTGTTTGGAAATGGTTTGCAATTTTTAAGAATGCAACTACTTTTAATATACCAAAGAGTTCTTTGTATAAACGTCCCCCCTTTCTAACCTTAAAGCTGGATAAAAAAAGTACAGTGGTACCTCGGGTCACGAACTTAATTCGTTCCGCAACTCTGGTCACGACCTGAACTGGTCGCGACCCGAATCAAATTTTCCCATAAGGTTCAATGTAAATACGGTTAATCCGTTCTGACCCCCATGAATGTGGTCGCCAACCGATTTTGGTCGCGACCTGAATCAAATTTTCCCATAAGGTTCAATGTAAATACGGTTAATCCGTTCTGACCCCCATGAATGTGGTCGCCAACCGATTTTGGTCGCGACCTGAATCAAATTTTCCCATAAGGTTCAATGTAAA